AGTTAAATGGCCAATCAGAACGCGCCTTCGACGCTATCCACTGTTTCAGTATTTTCTAAAAGGAATTACGTCAGCTGAACTGTCTTCAATATACCTCTCTTTTTTCATTATACCGGCCTGCGGAAATCATTTCCGTCAGTGTAAAAAAAAGTAATTCTAGTAATAATTACGATGGTGAGCGTTGCAGACCTAAGCTAAGTAGACTGAACAACACTGCATGAATAATAAATGATATGTTTTGTCAGACCAACTCACACCTGTGGGCAAAGACAGAAAGTTCATGCGCTTCGTGGAAGATATCAAATCAAACATGCAAGAAGCCAGTGATCCTGCAATAAGATCACTTTGTTTCCACTGTATTTATATTCGCACACTTGTTTTGCCAAGGCCACGGCGACAAAACTCAGTTATGTCATTAGTCTGCAATGATAACGTTTCGCGGTCAGTGAGTGCGGTGTCCTTACGAAGACAAATCTCTTCTCAAACATCGAACTCTTTTTTTCTGGAAGGATAGAAGTTTGTTACATTCCAGGTTTGTTCAGTCAATCAAAGTTAAGATGCCCAGTCAAATTCTACTATGAATCCAGGGCTTTCAGGAAAAATTTACAAATGATTGATATGGCACCATCAGAAGATTCCACTGAAAAGAGGTCGCTAAACATCGTAAGAAGACTCAGTTTTGTCCCGACAAGAATTACTGGAGTCGTAGTAGAATTTTACTGTATCGAGCCTGGATTCCTCCAAATCGAGCAGCCTTTGAAACTTTAGCAAAAGCTTGTTGTAATCCTCTGTCCTATTGGCTAACCGGCCATGATCCCGCTATTTCATTTTATTGGTAAATGAGCGGTAGATATTTTGATGAGAGCGCGCCCTCGTCTCGCCACCGCTGTGGCTTGGGTTTGATTCCCGATCCGGTCGTCACATGTGGGTCGAGTTCGTTGTTAGTCCCCGTCCTTGCTCCAAGGGTTTATCTCCAAGTCCTACGGTCTTCCTCCCTCCACGAAACAAACATTCAAGATTTCAATTCGACCTGCAGACAATGGGCAAGGAGAGCCACTTCGCCGATGTCCTGAGCTAAATTGCCATTTTTATTATTGTGATATTGTAGTCAGTATTATATTATCATCATCATCATCATCATCATCATCATCATCATCATCATTATTATTATTATTATTATTATTATTACTTTAAACAGCTTCATTGACGTATGTCTTACATTCCAGGCATGGTCTGCCACCGACCCTCACCAATCTTTTTGATTGGTTTTCTCTGCTTTGTTTTGACATTTGGCGAAGAAGGAGATAATGGTGAGGCGAATCAAACCGAGTATTTTAAATTTTGTTGCTATATGTATGCAGTACCACACAATGAAAAAAAGGAAGTTGAGAGAGAGAGAAAATGACGGAGAGAAGTCGAGGCACTGACACCCGTATCGTAGCCTGCGAGCAGTCCATCTTTATTGGAGTTTTCGGTGCGAGCGTTTCTTCGTCTGCGAGGAATTATGTGGCTTTGAGCAGCGCGAGCCGGTTAGAGGTCAGTGGAGTAGCTGTGAACCTTTATCCGACTCGTCTCAAATCTCCACGCGGGAAGAGAAACGCACGTCTTGCAAAGCTGACAATGAGGGCCTGGTCGCAGGGCTACCCGTATTACTAGTAGGATACTCTGCCACTTTAACCAAGCAAAGAGACTCGCTACAAGTTAATTTAACATCTTTCTTTGTTTTGAATACTTTCATGATCTGTTACTACTACTCAACAGGCTGTTTTGAAGCACTTGGGATTCAATCAGGCGAGTTTGACGATGGAGAGATTGCAGCCTCTAGTATGCTGAAGAACTTTTCATCAACTGACGCCTGGTGTCCACCAAAAGTCGATGAAAATCAATATCTGCAGGTGGATTTGTCAAGAAAAACAGAAATAACAAAACTTGCCACCCAAGGGGAGATTGGTAGTAAGGACAGACATGTGAAGACTTATGCATTACTTTATAGTGATGATGGAAAAAAATGGAAACAGTATGAGAGTCATGGAAAGGAGAAGGTGAAGTTATTGCACATCTTAATTTTATTCATTTTATCTCTCAGTTAGTGCGTGCGCTATGATTGCCGGGTCAATTTAGCGGGCCGTGATACATTTCACAGCCTGCTAAATTTATAGGTTTGGTTAACTTAAAATCTTTCCTCTCTATTTGAACCCAGAGATATAATATGTGTCTTAGCAACCTCGTTTTCTCGGTCCTCACTGTAAGTTACGGGACCTCGTTTTTTCCGCCCGGACTATGTATGGCCGAGGGAAAACAAATCGGTCCGAAACTTATAGTACGGACTTCGAACTTGGTTATTCACACATTTGCTAGCGTTAGACCCCTGTAACTCAAAAATTACTCCCCTTCAAAGTTCTCTCTTTGATTTCGTTATAGATATTTAAAGCCAACAACGATTCCTTCACAGTTCATCATAACTTGTTAGACAAACCTCTTGTTACGCGATACATTCGTGTCAATCCAAGGACATGGGAAAACGCTATTTGTTTGAGGCTTGAGTTATATGGATGTGATGGTAAGCTTACTTGACGTTTCTTACAAACCGTCAATTTAACAAATAAATTCTATGTTAGCACATGTCTGCTCAGTAGTAGATCGCAGATGACGTCAAAATGTGGTAAGAAAAAAGATGTTGCTCACGGTGCGCATCTGAGTGTTTCACTGAATGCTTTTACCACATTTTGACGTCTTTTTTGATCTATTTCTGTAAAGACCCATGGTAACAAGGAGTCTATCAGCTTTATATGGCATGATAGAATAGCAAAATGTTGGTAATGGTAAAGTCCCTCATGCCTCCAATAGATCACAAGAAGGAACCAATAAAAAATGAAAATGCTGATAGTTAATTTTGAACCAAAATGCGTGTATAATTCAGCTGATCAAACAAAAAGGAACACATGGAATTTAAATGATAGATTTTCAATTGTGCGAAGTTTTATGAGGGTGGAGAAAATTCAGTTTGTATTCAAGAGCTTAACCCTTTAACTCTCAAGATCTCATTAGTAATTCTCCTTACTGTCTGCCGTACAATTCATATGATGTCAATCTGGAGAATTTGGTATTGGATCAACTAATAATCCCCTAATTTATATTTTACTTTATTCTCATCACTTCTATCCTTGATATTGTATTGATATTTTAAGGAGAAATTCTCTATTAGTCACTCATGGGAGGTAAAGGGTTAAACGACCCTTAAACTCCCTCTCCGCACGAACTACAGGAGACCTTTTCGGCTAAAAATCAAATAACTCTTTTTTGTTTTTACAAAGACTCGTATACGTGTGTTAGACTTGTGGATTCAAAATGAGGGCTGTAAGGCAGTTGAAAAAAACAGAAAGGAAGAAGAAATTGCCTGTAAAAGGCCCATTCGATCACGTTTTGTTCTACGCACAATTAGAGCTCCCTTTAAATGACTGTCGTAAAAACCAAAAGCAATGTAATTGTCACAACCAATCATAACATCACGAGGAACCACTGAAAACTCCAAGTCGGGAAAAAAGCAAACTGCCTTAAGCGCGGGAAAATGAAGGCGACTAAGGTGCGATTTGTTTTAGTTTTGAATCTGATTGATTGAGAAAGTAGCGCGAGCTTTCTGGACCAATTACTTATCGAAGTAAAGCAAAACCAAAGCACTCCTGGATTACTCTCGTCACTCAACTACAAACTTCTCAGTCATAAGTAATTTACCGAATTATGCGAGGACCAGTGATAAAAGAATATTCAGATAGCTTGGAAGATTATGCAAAAAAATGTGAGTTACAGTAATTTAGTGATTGCTAATTCGCGTTATTTTTCACTCTGCAGTGTGAGGACTGCAGCAGCATGACCCAGCAGATGTATGTCTACACACCACTCCATCTTAAGATCTCAATTATGTAAAATAGACAGACAAGGAAGTTAATTGATGATATTGGACACGAGGAAGATAGTCGTCCTCGTTGGATATTCAGAGTTAGTTAACTGGAAATACGCAATGCGCAAGACAAGACAACTTTATTTGGAATTGAAAAATTAAAAACATTTCTGGAACTACTAAATTTGACACCAAGTCGTTTGTCAATATTTTGTAGGACTATCAAACACATGAAGGAATTAAGGAATTATTGTAGGACCACGGATATTCACAGAAATATTCTTAGAGGTCAACTTATTGCCTTAGTGTGAAAACATGGATCATGGCATGATACATTAATAATGTGTAAATATGTTGTTATAACGGGTAATATAATAATGGATCAATATTAAAGTTACTGTTACAGTTTTCAATCATATACGTCTTTTTACTGCGGTTAAATATGTATCTCGAAGGTATAAGTTTTCCCGTCAGTATTTGAGAAAGAAGACTAATCAGGACGCCATCGTTTGATGATACAGCGCGAACGTTTACCGTCCTACTTCTGAGAGGAATAAGGAGGGGTAGTAGCTACTCCCTTTATTAAATCCATTTTGAAATCACTGGTGATCCCTGTAATCTGATTGGTTCTCAGCAGTGTGATTCATCCACGAATCGCACTATTCTTTGCTCTAAATCGCATCTATTTCCCAGCCGAAGAGAAAGGGACACAAAAACTAAAAAACCAATCAGATTTCAAGGCTTGTTTAAAGTAACCAATCAAATTGTAGGAAAATGAAAGACAAAGAAGTCATATTTGATGGTAAATTTTGCAACTTTTGTTCCCAATAATTTTCCTTTTTTTCTAAAACAAAAAAATGAATCATAGAGGCGATTAAATTTTGCGATTACCAAATGGATGTAATAAAATGGTGATTGAACTTCCTTCCGTGCAATTTTGGTTTAAAAACACACAAGTGATTTCAAATCGAACTCTCAATGCGTGCTTGTTCAATTTTGAATCCAAGCATATGATTTCATACCAAAATGCATTCTATTCAGTTCGATTACCATTATTCGTCCCATGGTGTGTAACTTTACCAATGAAATATTCCTCTTCGTCTTATCCTATGTGCATTTTCCTGACCATAGCCTTTAATCCTTCAAATAATTCCTTAGCAGTAGGTTCTATTTGTGATGCTGGCAAGACAAATCCAAACTTTCCCTGATCTCGCAATTCAACTGCAAATGAGTATTTCACTTTCAAGCCACCATAGACGTAATCGGTTAAGCTCCCGGAATTGATATCTGAGTGAAAGAAAGACAGGATAAAAAAAGTACTTGTTACAGAAGGCTGACTACTTTATGATAAAGGAGGGGAAGTTCCTAAACAAAAAACTGTTGCTGTGTCGGTAGGTAGTTTTACAAGATAATTTAGTTTTATAAACGGAGTTGATATCGTAAATTGGCCACCATAGATATCTCCTAAAACTGACGTCTCGAGCATCAGCCCTAAGAAAAATCGAAACGTCAGCTTTAGAAACTCTTTTTGGAGGCCAATATACTTTTTACACCATTTGTGATGATATCCTGAAAATCTTTGTTAAAAATCTTTGGGAAACCATAACGCCCTACTTAGTTAGCGCTCTAATCTTAGATTGATTTCTTTAATGGATGAGCTGTTTAGAAAACAGAAAATGTTTCCTGCGGCTTATTATCATCGTTCTACAATTTTTTGCTACCAACGCAAATAAATTCTCCGTCATGTTGTTGCCCTCGCTCCTCTTACCAGCCCTTTTACGAACCAAATCTTGATGTTATCACTACTAAGTCCGGTTACTTTTAACGTATAGCGTCACAGTGTTACTTTTAAATTCTGTGATATCATAACACATATTTTACAGAGGCTTTTGTTGTAATCCTATGGGCTAAACTTACATAACAGTCTAGATGAGGGACCCAAATCATAAGTTGTGCTAAATTCCATGGACTTTATAACATCCACTGCGGCTTTCCCAACACGCATCTGCAAGTCAAGTCCAATCATATTACAAAATGGGTCTGCAAGGCTCTGGTACGTAATCTGAAGTATACATGGAACTGAACTTATTGAGTTCGGGGGGTTACTTGGGTCAATTTTGCTGAGTATGTGCCACCCGTCTCTAAGAACCCCTAGCCCATTATGGTCTGTTCTGAGGCCAATTATAAACAACATTGGTCACATTTGGGGAAATGTAATTTTCGCGATCCCAACTAAGTCACTTTTTAACCGTGAATCTTACCATTTTTAATTCCTTCTTACCAGAATTTTCTTGGCCCAAAAGTCCCGAAAATGTACCACCCCATTCTGGTAAATCTATTAAAAACGTAACCACATTATAATTAATCCTGTGGTGAAAATACGATTTTATCCAATGGTACATCCCCTTAAGCTAGGAAGTACCCCCCAATTAAGTTCGTTGCCCAAATTATTAAAACTAGCGAGGTCACAAAACTGATTCATGCTTATGTACATCTGGTGAACGAAATGACGAAATGGACGAAAAGACGGTGGAGCCCTCTTTCGGAGTAATCGTATACAAGGTTGGCGAAGGGATTACTGTAACTCACAAGTTCATCGTAATCTTTGATATTTTCCTTCGCAAAACCCCACGGAATCATCCACATTTGACTGTAACTGTGAACATCAAGGAATCCCGCAAGCCTCTTCAGCTGAGACTTCAAAAAGCGATCTAAGTTCTGAACCTCTTTCTCAGACATGGCTGATGAACCCTGGTAAATAAATGAACAAGGGTTCTCAGAAGCCCCGTGATCTAAAAGGAGAAGAAAGATCGCACATCAAAATTTATCTGACAATGCATTATATCATTGTCTCTTCTATTACTGCTATGGTAGTGAAAACACCCAAGTCGAAATTAAACAGAAGACAGGGAGAAAATTAAACTTTTAACAAAATTGAAATATATAGAGATTTTTCTTAGTGGTGATATCTATATAATAAACGGATATATGTAAGTATAGTATCTGAGCAATTGGGCCCCTACCCCTCCCCCAACCCCGCACCAGTCAACTAAGAACAAGTTAGGGTTAAGATTGGGTTAGGGGAGGGGTAGTTATGCAGTCGCTCAGATACTGACATTGATCCAACAATCCTTGATGTATTCTTTGCAGCAGTTGTAGAAATGAATCTCAACGTTGTTACCTCCCCAACTAAATTGCCAGTTTCTGTTCAAATCGGTACCAAAACACAAGGATCCGTGGTTGGGACTTCGGTTTTTTCGCCATAAACGATCCTGTAATGTTAGGTATGGTGAAAGACTTATCGGTCAGTGTAATTTTATAGCGGAGCTCAAAGCATGCGCAGCGCACACAGCGAAGCCCCATACTTATCAAAAAATGGTTATAATTACAACAATCCATTACGCTTTATCATACTGACATTACCCAGTCACTGCATGACTTTCCCAAATTTTTTTTTAAAAACAGGACCGGACCATTGTGCGACAGTTAAACTACAAAGGCATGATAGCCCATGGGTTGCCACATGGTTTGATCTCCTTCTACCAAAGGAAAAGAAAGTTAAGTTAAAAGCAAACGCTTTTAAAAGCAAGATTAAAGAGAAAAGGAAGTTAAGTTCTCACTTGAGTCCAGGTGTAAACGTAGCCATCAACATTAAATACGGGTACAATGGCGAGGTCTATTTTATCCAGCAAGGCTGTCACGCTGGGGTCCTTCCCGTACTGGGAAACAATCTGAAAAGTGGCCTGGCTTTAAATACTAACTTTATTAACTGTTGCGTGGCATGTTTACGAGCGTGTGTGACATTTTCTTGATTTTGCATTTGAGTCAGCGATACTAAGTGCTTCGTGATCGAAAGACATTATGATTTTTGACGTTTCAAGACTTCTTACTTGAAAGCAAAAAAAAACTTTCTTAATCTTTAAACTCCCAAGATCTGATTTTTAATTCTCTCCTCCAGCTGGTGTACATTTCCTCATAAATTAGTTACAAGAATTTGCTTTTAGATCAGGATAACGACTTTTACCTGATTAGTTTTAGTATTCTCATCACTTGTTTGCTGGACTATATATGGATATCTCAGGGAGAAGTTGCACGTTAATCACTTCTAGGAGTTCGAGGGTTAAGTATTAAGATATGGAAGACATCATAACAATTACATTTGACAATTTTAAAACCCTGCGCCTTAATTTGTTTTTAAGTCGGTTTCCATGGCGATGATCGAATGATGGCAACTGGCTTTATTTCTATGAATGAAAGAACGTAGTTTTTCCTACCTGATCAATGATGTAGATACAGGAGGCTGGAGAAATCCACTCTCGAGCATGTGTTCCACAATTTATAAACACCAGCGGCTTGATTACTTGATGGTTTGCTTGAATCTAGATAATAGAAAATATTGATGATATTAACTGGATTGAAGTTTTGATACGCCTTTTATCCGTTAGAAGGTCGATGTTTAAACTCTTCTGAAAAACCACCATATCTGTTGTTACACTTGATCAAACTTACCTGAAGTATATATTGGTCCCTGTTCTCATATGATTTGCCAAGACTGTGCATGCGTACAATATTTGAGCTTTGACCGGTAGCTTTCATCCAGGATACAATCTTTATGACCGGGAGAATAACAAAAATAATGACATTTTCAAAAAATTGCATGTTCAATGGGAGAATAAAGGTCATGTGGGTTTTTCATTCTTGTCATCAGTATTTCACTTGACCCTTGTCGAAAAACCATTTGAAGGCCTAGTTGTTAAGATAATTCTGAAGAGTTGTTTGATTAATCGTCTTTTTTTAACAGAGAAAATAATAGATGGGCGCTGTTAGATATGAAATTTCTCTTTGAGTGTTCAACTCGATATTACGAGTGAGCGCAGTGAACGAATGAGATATCGAAGTAAACACGAGAAGAGAACTGAATTTCATCTTTACAAGCAACCATCTATTTTTTTAGAATAATATAAACTCTGTAAGCCTCTCAAACAGGAAAACTTGTCAAACGATATTAGATTGAGAATGCTTGGCCATTCATTTATCAACCTAAGAGAGAGGCGTGAAAGGTAAGTGACGTGTCAGCAGCTGATTGGCGATATTAAACGCACGTAAAAAATTATCGTAGTTGTACACTTGTACAGTGGCGGCTTTTCTCAGGGCTGTAATTCCTTGTAAAGCTCTGCAGTTTATATAATAAAATTACGTTCCTCTTTTCTGAAGCTTTTTTGGACCTTGCCATATCGGTCTACGATTAAATCATAATTGAGAAATGCGCGGGATATCTACCTCATCAAACGTGTGGTACGTATTATGCCAAGACGATCTTTTGTAATTCACATCATTCTGTCCGTTCATAACGGCTTGAAGGTCGAATATTGCTACTTTGTAACGAATCTTATTTTGAGTCAATAATCTTGTAAGCTTTATGAATTCTTCCGGTGACACCTGCATGTCAACTGTCTCACCCGGGTGCGAAGGAGGTCGCCAAAAGTCTACCTAGTACATGAATCATACCAGATATCCGAGTTTATATTACTAAGGCTATATTTGTATATTTAAAATATATAACTGGCAGTTTAGAAGAAAGCCATTCCCAAAATCTTTTAAAGGAAAATAAAAATGACTGTGAATGTTTGTCGCGAGCTGTCACCTGCCAAAATGAATAATAAAACTGCCCGAGAAGAACGTCTGCGCACATCGTAATCTGAAGCAGAAAATTGGCTTTTCAATGTTCCATGCTCTGTGCAAAGGCGCTAGCTCTCGGCCTGAAACAATATTTTAAATCATGATTTTTTCCCAAATTAAACCAGATCAATTTTTTTATCGCTATGAGGAGGGGCGTGGGGGAGGGGGGAGTTTGAAGGATCTTGTAGGGGATCACTTGATTTTCAGGGGCAACAGAAGGGGAATCAGCCGAGTATATAAAGAGAAGAATGTAAGAAATTGACTTCCTGACTGATCAAAAGAATATTAAAAAACCTTATGGGGGGACTAGGTAAATTTTATCATTATACTTTACCACTAATTTTTCTTTTCCTTGGAGATGCAACAAAATGTTTACTTCGGCAACGGTTGATGGGAAAGCGGTGACAAGTTTATGCCTGGAGAAAAACAATTATTAGAGTATACAGAGTCTGAGAAGACATGACCAAGAGGTCAAAACGGAATAAATTATAATAACTTCTGGAAAACAGAGCGTGGGGGCCGTGCTGGGGAATACTGGCCCGAGGTCGTGCAGTACGGACCGAGCGCAGCGAGGTCCTCACAAAAACGACCCAGGGCAAATATTCCCCAGTACGGCTCGAGCAAGCGAGTTTAGGAAGTGGTTTACAATACAACACTCAGACCAAACTTGTTTACTTTGAATTTCGAGAATTTCGCTTTCTTGAGCAAAAATACACTGCCTATGACTATGTCCTATGAAACAGTCCGTACGGTAAAATACGGACCAAATATGAGCCTATCAGAACGCTCGAATTTATCTTAGGACAACTTTGCCATATAATGATAAGATGTTTTGTTCCTGCAATTTAAGTTCAATTGGTCCTTACCCCCAATACAGAGTTTCACTTGCCGTTCTTGTTGTGAAAGTCAGTAGGAGCAGTAACGTGAGAGCCTCATCAAGGAATCTCATATCCTGTGCCGACTTGAACTTTGTGTTAGCTAAATATTGTTTAATATATAGTTATTACAAATAAATTATTCGGGCAAACGAGCAATATTTGGATTTGTTTTATCTTTTTCGGATTATTTAGACGATCTTATTCTGTGTCCACAATCAATGATTTTCACCTTTTATCATTTGTTTGATTTTCTGGTATTCGTCACGCGCCTTTTTTTTTTTTAATTTTAAACAAAATAAATTTCAGAAGTATGTATAATCTCCTCCGATCACCTCTTCTATTAAAATTTGTTCTCGTGAGTTTATCGATCATATCTCGATTATAACAACGGAAATGTTCTTTCTCCACGCCTCAATATTACCCTCGCTTCTCTAAGAATGTCAAACTTTTCAGGTATACCTCCTGTTATTTACAAACTCACCTCTAGAAATTCTTGCAGGTTTTACTCTGATAATATTCTTACACGTTTTTCTCACTGTCTTTTGTGATGAGAGATGGAGCTCGTTATGGAAGACTTCAATTTTCACCTCCAGTTTCCACAACTGTCCGGTCGTAAACCGTTCAAGCTAACATATAACGATTGGAGTATTATGTAAACAACTGGTATAATTTCCGGTGATATAAACGTTTTTAAAAACAAATCGTATCCTAGGTTTCGATGCAGCCTTGCTCGTGGGCTCAGGTCTCAGTAGCCCTGCACTTCTCCTCCATCTCAGGCACCTTCCCCTCAACCGTTCCTTCACTCTCGTTTCCAGGCTTTCTCTTTTATTTCTTTGTTACCTCACAGACCCTGCCATATGCAGAGAGTATAAATTTGATGTGATCAGGCCCCATACTCCTCTGTAAAAAGTAATGATTCTACCCAGCCCAGACCATCGCCTCGTTATTACCCCTCCCCTTCCACGAATACTTGAAAATTAATCGGGTTTTCCAATAAACCTTAAGCTTAGGAGGAACCTTCCACCCGCAATACTGTTTCAGACAGCTTTGGTTCGAATCTCAGATTTCGTCCTGCAACTTTTGAGATTTTTTTAACTGAAATTTGGTCCCAAACCTCCTCTTCTCTTCTAAAATGTTTCGAAATCGCTCGAAACTAAAAGTTATAACTGAGATATAATCACAGATTTCCCGCGGAGCTGCTTCGTTCATGATGTACCGTTCTTACAAGAACAGTTTCATGGCTACTCATCTCCCTCACGTCGTATTGGCGTTGTTGGTCCTGACACAGCAGACATGGTGTATACCACCTACGTCTTCGGAAGAAACTTACAGAGGGCTGTTGACGACATGGCACCGTAAGTAGATGACTTATTCAGGGTTAAAACGTAATGTGTTCCCACAGAGGTTCTATGAGGAATTATTGTGGAAAGTCTAAGTATCGACCAAGAGTGCCAGGGAGTGATGGCACGCACAAGTGACCGCACACAAGACACACATAACCACGCCAGGCGTACGCACTTGACACATCACACGAACATGCTTGATGCTGCACACGACCATTCAAACAACAAAACATCAGAAAAATGAAAATAAAAAATACCGACTCTCTCTTAATTCTACTAATGAAATTGTTGGCAGTTTCAACGGTGACCATGAACTATATTATCGGTGAATCAGGTCATATCAACTGAGAAAATAGCTACACGATGCCATGTCCATGTTTTTTTGTTTCAAGGACTGAAGTCGTCCAATGTTTTTGAGATTTATCTTCGTGCCGAAATATAATTATGCACAAGTTTTATTTCATTTTATTTCATTTTATATCCAAAGGCTACATTGGTCGAAAAACGATTTGAGATCGTTCTTATTATTTGAAAAAAATTCTCTCGGTTGACTAATCGCGGAGTTATAGAAAATAATCGCATAGGTTTTGATTTTTGAAAATGCTTTTGAATTCGCAATATCCAAAGTTGGAGGGATATTTCATCCTGATGTAAGTCAAGCAAATTGTTTCACTTTCTATACCATGTGAGTTTGTGAGGTAGAAATTACAGAATCATTTGTTATTCTAAGGCCGACCACATTGCTGATAATGGAAAGAGGTCCTGAAAAGGTGTAAATGATCTATCGTTGTTGTAAGCTACGGTTAAATGTAACAAAGTAAATGTCACCCGAACATAGGGCCAGTTTTATTTTGGGTACATTACAGATAGCCTTATTAATATTGAAAAATACTTATATGAAAAGCGTGACATAAGAAAACAAAACTGAAACAATACAGAAATTTATGCATATTTTTATTGGTAAAATTATAGATGTGACAGTCCACAAATCCAAAAGGAAACTATAAACTTACAGTAAATAACAAAGTATGATGTTCAGTGAAAGTGAAATTTTCTTGTTTAGACAAAGAGCATAAATCAGTGTTCTCTCCAAGCCAAGGCCCTCCCCCTGAGTGCTATTTGAAGTACTTCCTGCACCAGTCACCCCCACAGGGGCTTCTCATCGACCATCCTGACGCGGAAGTTTATGTTTGCCAGTCGGTCCCAGAATCCCCTGACACGTACTTCTTCGCAACTTTGTTCGACGATAAAGCAGGCATTGCCATTTTGTCCGCGTACACCGTCACCTACGAACAGGCGCGTAACATGGGTATGTTTCCAAGAGAAAATGTTTCAAATAGCTGGCGAACAAATAAAGGTAAGCTCAGCGAATACTCGTTAGAAGATTTATTAATGTTTTCATACCTTTCATTCCTACAACCCCATTCAAATATTTTGTGGACAGACTTAGAATATCCTCCAATGATGTATTTTCTCAATTCCTCAGCATTAAACTGGAGCTAGATGTAACCGAGGAAGGATTAAAATGAGTTAGACGCCCACCTCGTGCATAAGCCACGCGTATTGGTTTTGCGCGCGTTTTCTTTTTCCCATATCCTCTGTTTTCGAACTCAGGATGCATGTCCTGTTTATGCCGAAACGATATCATTTCGATAGAAATCGACTGTAATCAAAGGTAATTTAATATTATCAACTGAATTGATAACGTAAATTGGCCACCGTAAATAGTTTAAAAGCTGACGTTTTAAGCGTTGGCCCTTCGTCAGAGCGATTGGAGGAATTGTGGGTTGCGTGTGTTTATATGTAGAAAATGGAGGTACCCTATTGGTGGGAATATGGTGACGAGAAACAAGACTAAATTAGTTGAATGGAAAGCACTGGTTTATAACCGGGGGATTAAGAGTGCCGATTTGAAAAATAAATTTTTTGTTCTAGAATTTTGTGGCTTTCCAAAATGCCTAGATGTAGGGAAAGGCCGCAAACTGCCCTGTACTGCTTAGAATGGTTAGGGAGATCGAAGTGTCTAGCGACTGGTTTAGTTGCGTCTTTGTTATTTTTTTCTACATCGCGAGGGTCATCTACATCGGTCACCTAGTCGTCTTCCTGTTTCACCGATGTATTAATTTTTGCAATAACTGCAAGTTATGCAAGAGATGACATTGGCGGAGGTGAGTCATCAGTGATCTTAATGGATCCTCCAATCGCTCTAACAAAGGGCTGACACTCGAAACGTCACCTTTTAAACTCATTATGGTGGCTAATTTACGTTATCAACTCAGTTGATAATACTAGGTTACCTTGTTATACTCTCCCTCCGACGTAGCACCATAGTTTCTTTAGAAACTTGCCCCCTTTATTCATCGGTAACCAAAGGAACCGACCTCGCACGCGGTAATCAACGGCAGCCACCTCGCGTGCTGGACACGCGTATTGGTTTCGCGTTAAGAGTGAATAATCTCCAAGAAAGTGTGAAATAATATCTTGTTTCGCGCCCGTCGTCTCTTCCAATTTCATACCATTTTCGCTTAATGTCCCGTTTACTCCGAGACAATATCATTTCAAAAGAAATGGACGGTAAACGACGTCATCTGCACTTAACGTCAGATAGAGGCAAATGTTAGTTGAGTCCAATTCTAACCAGACCTGATGTTTCGTCTTAATTGTAGAACTAACCCATCAGGGCACTGACAAAATGTATCACGGCCACGGCAGAGGAAAACAGGGGTTTGACAAAGGACACCTTAATCCAGCTCACATTAACTCATTTGACAAAAAGCACGTGTTGGCCACGTTTACTTACAGTAACGCAGTTCCACAATACGGTCACTTTAACCGCGGCTCCTGGGGAAAATTTGAAAGCAAAATTGTGAAGTACGTCACGACGCAATGCAATAAATCATCAGCTGTGATGTATTTAATGACTGGCTCGTCGAAGTTCCGATTACAAGTTGGTACAGAAAAACCAGTCCACGACAAGGGCCAGATCAAGGTATGCTATTTTGTCGACGTGACTTTGATTTTGAGTTGTCTGATAAACAAATTTGAGGTCTCTTAAATTTGAAATTAATTTAATGGAACTCAATCCGACTGAAGTTATAACATACTTTATGGGGACTCTCAATTTTCAAATGCGCACCACCATATGTTTAGGAGACCCACAGAGATGCTACTGGTTTTAGCAAAACGATGATTTTGAATGTGAACGCATTTAGCGAATAGTTTCCTCTGGCCCTTTACACTCCATCTACCGATCTTTGATGAGTTAATAGTCCATTTTAGACGAATTCGTCAAATCAAGTCTCCTTCTTTAAAAAAAGTGAGCGAGGGGGGGAGGGGAGGGGAGGGGAGGGAGCAAGAAAGGAAGAGTCAGTTCCAGCTTTCGTCTTCATGCAGTCGTTTAAAAGCTGAATATCCAAAACGCGACCCCGCTCAACTTCTGAGTCTGTTTTTGATTGATCAATTAAAGGAAACTTCCTTCCCCTGAATTTTGTTTTGTTTGGTTTTTTTTTCTTCTCAGATTCATTATTTCCCTGGCCCCGGCTCCAACGGGTCGATTGTGCGCCCCAATTCCATGTGGACAGCAGGATGCTGTGTTTGGGAAGACGAGAACCACAAAGAAATGGCCCAGTCCATCGCAGTCATGGGAAACAATGACTTTGAATCCAAAAACATCGCCATAAAGTCGATGACATTGGTGGAACTCGAGAAAATGTTGGTTTACGACGGAGATGAGCCTGTCTCTCTTTTTCCTGCCGTCAAAGAATGCAGAATCAACAGTTCAAAGCTACCAAATTGATCGTTTAAGATAACAAAATCCAAATATATGTTCTGTTGGTTTGCATTTCGCTGATAAATATGGCAAACTGTTTTTTGTTTCAGATATAAATGAAAATAGCTATTTGATAGTAATCAGTTATTTCCAGAAACAAGTAATTTCGTTTCCAGTTTCGATGCATTTAATTATAATTTTTAACAGTTGATGATTGAAAGTTTGCATATTAAAACAGTGCGTAGATATTTCATGTCTCTCTCCATTCTCGGGATTTTATATTTGGTATTTTACTGAAACACAGTCAGAATAAACTTCTTTCAGGTTTTTTTTTTATGATTTCACGAACTGAATACACACCCACAGAAAAAACAGAACAGTTATCTTGCAGCTTTTATTTTCCTCATTACTTTGTGAAACATTTGTGCAAGGGATTAGACTTTGACGTTAGAAAATTTTCCATCAGTTTTGAGTCCTTTAAATCTCGTCAAGATCGAATGAAAATGTTTCCGTGTGGATTGTCGACATTCTTCAGATGGTTGAGTTCGTTTTTTCCACAAGGATCATGGGTAGGCCAGTGCATCAATGTGTAACCATCAAAATAATAATAAATGTTGGAGGAGGAAAAGATCGGTCCAAAGGTCTGACTATGAATCGGCACAAACCTAGATGGCGCTGGCGAATCTTGACACGTGTCAGTCACGTTTTTAACGACCTGACACTTGACGCTCCCTTCCTGCCAATCAACCAAGCTTCCAGTTCCCGGATGACAAACCAGCCAGTTGTTTATGTTGCTTTTGATGAGGACCTGTCTGCCGAGTTGTTTCCATATGGAGAAATTCATGGCGTTGAAGTCTGTTTCACCCAACGGCGGGGTTACCGAGACAGGGACGTTGAGAGCAGAATTTATCTGCCAGTTCGGCCTCGGTGTAATAGCATTTAAACTCGAAGAAAACGTATCGTAATCAGTGAATTTATAGCTCCACACAAGAGTCCAGCCCCCTCCATCTGTTTCCATGTCACAGTAGGCCCTGAAAGCCGTGCCCTGGGATCCACCGTCTGGGTCGATCCAGTAAACACCAGAGGAAAGAGAGGGGAGTTGGCCGCGAAGGATCTGGCACGAAGAAACTGCTGACAGTTGAGTAGAACCTATACAAGGTGTGACGTGGCCTTAAATTGAGTGTATGATCATAATAAAGATAAATATTACGATTTTAAAATGCTCAACTGAGTGCAATATTACACCTTTTTTCCAGTCGCGATGCGTGCCTTGTTCTTTTTGAGGGAGATATCACTTTAATGAAGGTAACGCGCACATGATGACGTAAAATGTTTCACTCAAGACCAGAGTTTGTGTTCAATAGATGCAGATGTTTTCTCCGCTCGAAAGAGCTTTCTCTTTCAGAAACTACGATCATTTAAGATATTCTTCAGTATCTGCTAAAGCCATCTTATATACCGTTAGTATCTCACCTGCACTGATTTACCCGGCTAAGAGAGCAAGTAGAACGATATGAAATAAGAATGTTTATGACCACGTATAGAGATAGGTAACTGGTCGTTTTGTACCTAGTCGGTGAGTCGTTTCGTACCCAGCTCGGTCGTTTCGTACATAAAATTATTAAAATATGTTTTCCATGTTAAGATTGTTTAAAGTAAGGTCAGTTTCTTGTTTTGAATAGTAATATTACCTGCGTCAAATTTGCTTTGTTAACGAGGTGTCCATTTTTGAAGCGCGACCCTCGAGTATGTCCAATTTACATTATCAGCTCAGTCCATGAAAACGTTTTAAAATGGGGAGTCTGGGAATCATAAGACGACGCGAAGAATATTTCTATCAGAAAACATTTATATTTTCATTCCATCCTAATTAAACATAGATTACAACTTAATACGTATATTTTTTTTCGTCAGATCAAACGAACTTATTACCGTTGATAACGATGGGATTGGGTACGAAACGACCGTGGTTACAAAACGATCTACCGACCTAGAGACATTCTTAATGACCTACCTAATGGACTGGCGATTCCTGGAAGTTCAGTCTGTAATAGAAAATCCCTCTGTTAATGACATTAGACAAAGGCCTATTTCGATTACATAATAATTGTCTCTATATATTCGTATCTTAGTTACGAACGTAGTTACAATGTTTACTTCTTTTTTCATTGGTTTTGTAATCGGACCTTTAGGCGTTACCAGGCGCATATAGAAGCTGAGTTAACGTCCCTTTTTAAAGTAGTTTTTCGTTCGATTTCGTGTGGCCTTCTCAACCTCGTTCTATCGAGGTTTCTTGATTCTTAACCCTTGGCTCAACCGGGACCGACATTTTACGATCGTTTATTTGAATGCAATAAATCGCCGAAAAATGTCAACTTTGGTTCTTCGTAGTTTATTCGTCTTTGAAGACGACCTGTAAAGCAGTCCCACACATTAGTTGCGTCACGCCGAGAGGTCGTTTTGTTACATCTCGTTTTGGAACCAGCTGGCGTTCGCTGCAAGCGCAACGCTCACACTTAATTTTATTATCCTGTTTTAAAATATTTAAATCAGAGCCACATGCTTATCATTTGAATGATTCCTAAACCGGTTTTCGAGATAAAATACCTTTTTCGCATAGAAAGATCCCTCTAGTCGTTTTAAAAGTTTTTCCGTCAGGTGTGTTTGTCCGTTTCCAAGGAGTGAACAGGATCTTTGATTTGCCAAGAAGTTTACACTTTCACAAGCAGCTTCCCTCGCACACAGCAGTGTACAGGACAGCAAAGAGTCAGCTTTTCTATCCCAAAGAGTATCAGCGGAAAGAAAACTGTTTTCTTTTATTTCAAAGTAGACTCCCCGAGGAGATTCTGCAGTTATCTTGGCTGATATGGACAGAATTATCGCAGCAAAGACTTTAAGCGACATCTGGTAATCGCTACAACATGAAATGAAAAGTTAGCTAACGCATAGACTGGTTTAGGATGTTGTTACGAGCTAAGATTAGTTATTCAAAAGCAGAGGTTAGATAGGAAGATGATTACATTACTTTTTTCTCCGTGTGATCCAGTCGACAGATTGTAACTGTTCTGAATCAAGGTTCTTTTACTTGAACTGAAGTTATAAATTTTGAGTTGTCTAATTGAAGATTTTATGTTCGCTTAAACGATATTTCAAAAGATTTTGACATTTTGTAAATTCCGTCTCAAGTATCACTTCGTATGCAATTACATATTTTGACATTTTAATTTAAGTGTGTGATCATATCACAATTCGCCGTGGACATTGCATTAACAAAAATCTCGGTTTTAGCTAGTGAGTGTAATAAAAAACAGATTTTCAAGTTTCTACGGTTTAAAGGATGGAATTTAGAGGAGCTCAGTACAGCGTTGATTCAAGATTGCATCTTATAGGAAATGTATAGCTTATATGAAGTTATCGGTGCGCGCGAGGTAAGGCAGCTGAAAACTGTATCAAAATTTTATTACTCAAGTTGAGGGAAATTAATCATTGAGTCAAAGATTTATGCTCTCCGAACTTTTATTACATTGTTATTGCAGTCGATAAAGCAATATAATCCATCACTTTAAGAGGATATTCTCATTCGTAGTGTTTAGAGCCCTTCACGTCCTGAGGGGATATTTCCAGAAATTATTCTTTGAATATTTACTAATCAGTTAAATCCTCAATTTTGTCAATGACTTTCTCATTTTTCATTTCGCTCACAATCTATCTAATTCACAAACCTTCCAACTAACCACCTGGTAAATCTTAAAACACAATAATTTAAATGAGACGTTCTTGACAAAATGATTTAGTGCATAAACGCAAAACGAATACTCAATTTGTCCTTCCGCGCGAAGCCGTACTTTCAAACTTTGCCACAAACGCCAAGGCTGGTCCTCGAATACAGAGTCGTTCCAATGCCCTCCCTGTTCTAACAGGGGAGCGGAGACTGGAGCAGTGGTGTTGAAGATCGTCGCGCGCACCGAGCAGTGTATGAAAATAGACTGCGTGACATTCGTGCGGGTTGTGAATTGGGACACCTAACACTACGGTAAAGAACCCAGTTAGTGCCATTTCGCATTTCTCTTCAACTATTTTTTGACTATCTCAACTTTATTTTTCACCATCTCAGTTTTTTCCCGGCACGACTTCAACTTCCTTCTCGACTTCAATTTTCCTTCACGACTTCAACTTCCTTCACGACTTCAACTTTCCTTAACGACTCCAACTTTCCTTCACGACTCCAACTTTCCTTCACGGCTCCAATTCTCCTTCACGACTTCAACATTCCTGCACGACTTCAGCTTTTCGGCACGACTTCAACTTTCCGGGACGACATAAACATTCCGGCACAACTTTAACATTCCGGCACGACTTTAACATTCCATGCTACTTTAATTTTCTGGCACATCATTAGTTTTCCGGCACCATACGGTGGTCCATTGAGGACAAGCCACATTTTTTTTTTTGCGCGATAAATCTCATTTATCGCGCAATAAATTGAAATTATCGCGTGATAAATGAAAAATTATCACGTGACAAATGGGAAACTTGTTAGGTCGTACGTGGATCGTTGGCCCATAGAGGACATGCCACATTTTTTTTTTAACAGCCGATCACGTGCGATCTAACAAGTTTTTCGTTTATCGCACGATAATTTATCATTTATCGCGCGATAACTTTTCATTTCTCGCGCGATAATTTATCACATATCACATATCACGCGATAACTTTTTTTCTCGCGTGATAATTTATCGTTTATCGCGCGACAATTTATTCTTTATCGTGCGATAAAAGTGGTCAGCACCGTAGCGGGCTAACTTATTTTTCACCGGAAGACTCAACACAAGAATCAACGCAGCAGGTCACCGCCGGCCGATCGCAATGTACTTACTGTAACACTGTTCGGTAAAAACTATAAATAAATTTGCAACTGGGCAAAGCTAAATTGGATAAGTTTATTCCATCAAATTATATTTAGTGTGCTTGTCTTGCACTGAATTGCTATAGAATAAATCAGTTTTCAAATGAGGATACAATATTTGCGTTGACTTGAGTTAGACTCGCTCTCTGTATCGCCAATGTACCGAGAAGAAGTCAATTCATACATGGCCAAATCGCTCGTCCACATCTGCAAACTTACAGAGTGCTGTTAACAAGACGGCACCGTAAGTAAATGGTTTATTCAGGGTCAAAACGTAATGTTTTCTCCTACAGGTTCTGTGGAGAATTATTGTGGAGAGTCTAAGTATTGACCAAGAAGGCCAGGGAGTGGAGCGCACAAGTTACCGCGCACAAGGCACACATAATCACGCCAGGCGTACGCACTTGACGCATCACACATACAACAAAACATCAGTGAAATGAAAGTAAAAAGACTGAATCTATCTTAATTCTACTGATGACACTTAATGGAAATTTCAACGGTGACGTTGAACTATATAACTGAACTGGTGAATCAGATCATATCTACTGGGAAAATAGCTACAAGATACCATGTCCATGGTTTTTTGTTTCAAGGACGAAAGTCTTCCAATGTCTTTGAGATTTTTCTTCTTGCTGAAAGATAATTATGCAAAAGTTTTCTTTCATTTTATTTTATGTTATATCCAAAGGTTACATTGGTCGAAAAACGATCTGTGATTGTTCTTATTCTTTGAAAAACTGCTCTCAGTTACCAAATCGCGAAGTTGTAGAAAGTCATCGCATAGGTTTTGATTTTTGAAAATACTTTTGAATTCGCAATATCCAAAGCCGAAGGGATATTTCATCTTAATGTAAGTCAAGCAAAGTGTTTCACTTTTAATACCATGTGAGGTGGAAATAACAGAATCATTTGTTATTTTAAGACCGACCACTTTGCTGATAATGTTTTACAATGGAGAGAGGTCCTGAGAAGGTGTAAATGTTCTATCGCTGTTTTGAGCTTCGGGTAAATGTAACAAAGTAAATGTCACCCGAACATAAGGTCAGTTTTATTTTGGGTACGATACAGGTAGCCTTATTGATACCGACAAATACTTAAATGAAAAGCGTGACATAATGTTCGATGAAAGTGAAATTTTCTTGTTTAGACAAAGAGCATATCTCAGTGTTCTCTTCCTGCGCTAGTCACCCCCACAGAGGTTTCCTATTGACCATCCTGGCGCGGAATTTAAAATTTGCCAGTCAGTCCCAGGATTCCCTGACTCGTACTTATGGGGCGCCAAACCAGTCAATATTCCTTTTCTATTTCTATGGCCCAGTTAACTTTTATATGGTCTACTCGAGTTTTTATGTGGTCAACTTTTTACTTTTAATAAGATCAAGTTTTAGTTTTTACATGGTCAAGTCGACTTTTTATTTGGTCAACTTTTTACTTTTTATATAGGTCAGTGTAAAATCTTACATTTAGGAAATGTAAAATGTTTACATCAGGCTTTGTAAACACGGAAACCATTTTACATTTCTTTTACAAAATAACTAATGAAAGAGGAACGAAAATCGTGTTTACATACGCTCATGTAAAATGGTTTTATGGCCAATCAGAGCGCGCGTACTATTTGAATTATTTTATAAATATACGCTTGCGCAGATAGTGGCGTAAAATCGTACAGTCTGGAGACTGTGTTCGTCACACATTACGCCGTTATCTAACTACCGGGGACAATATTCTCCGAAGGCTGAGACATTATAGTAAGTTAGTGGGAGAACAAGGGACCGTCGAGAAGACCAACTTTACAGAACGAAGGTTCGCGCCAAATGACACAGTTGGTTTATGCCAATTTCAACGTCATAATCTATAATGGATATTCAAAGGTTTGAATAATGTATGAAAATATACTGCGTGACATTTGCGCGAGTTGTGAATATTGGGGCACCCAACACTATGGACAGTTGTAGTTTTCCTATTACCCAGGTAAAGGAAGGAGAGTGGAGATCACCAAGAACAATTCTGTTGGAAGGAGTTCCAATTCATGACTTTTTCACAAAAAATCCTGCAGCACTGCGCGAGATGATCATCAATTTCCAAACAAGACACAATGATGTGTTTGTTGTGACTTATCCGAAATCAGGTAAAGAAGCTTGACCTGCCAATGTTTTGTGTTTATGAGTGAATGATTAGGTAAGTAAAAAGAAGTAATAATTTGCAATGCATTTTTATTCAAGGGACAACATGGATTTCAGAGATCCTTTGGCAGGTGTATAATAACGGCGCAGAAAGTACAAAAATGATTTTTGACCGAGTTTCGTTTCTGGAGCGTGACCGTGCTGATGTCACAACTCTCCCCAGTCCACGGCTTCTTCATTCTCATTTAACCCAAGATGTCATTCCTCAAGGAGAGGGCGATGACGAAAGGTGCAAGTATATTTATATTGCACGGAATCCAAAGGATGTGGCTGTGTCATTTTATGAATTTATGAAGGAACATGGTTCTCTTGCTGGGTATAACGGTCCATGGGAATTTTTTGCCAGATTATTTGCAACTGGGAAAGGTGAGTTTTACTTTTGCATGAATGGTAAGAATGGGACACGGATTTTTCCTGGAGGCTAAAAAGAAAAAGATTCTGGAACATTTCCAGAAATTAAGTGTTGATGAAACAACTGTGTTACCCACAGTATGCAAGTCAACCAGGAAGATGTATTCAATAACTCTTTTACTCCCACGATTGACCAAGAGAGAATTTCCTCTTACAATATCGATATAATATATAGCAGACAACAACTGAGAGTAAGGGAAAATATCTGTTAAGGGAATAATCAGTTGATCTAAACCAAATTCTCTGAAGTTACATCATCAGAATTGTGTGACAGATAATAAGAAGAATTATTAGTGAAATTTGTGGGTGAAATGGTCAGAGTGAACTCGAAAACCTTTTTGGATGAAAAAATCTGTCCGTGGGTTTGGTGTATAGTTTTTAAAAGTTAAGCTACACAATTTAAGCATAATGTCCTCCCTTCTCCTTCCTTCCCCTCTGGCCCTTACTTCAAATGTACTTCCCTGTTCCGCTTGCATGTTTATTCTCTGGCATAATGTAGAATAAACAAGTTAAGCTATGGATGGGTGTCATCATATTTTGAAGAACAATTTAATTTGTAATTGTTTTATTCCAGTGTCGTATGGTCATTGGAGTGATCATGTGTTAGGCTGGTGGAGGCACAGGGATGATCCTAATGTCTTATTTCTCAAGTATGAAGACTTGATTAAGGTTAGATTGTAATTTATTGTGTTTAAAAAAATTCCATTTTTACATGTATTTATTCAACAAATCAAGTTAAAGTAGGTTGATTAATCAGATAATGTAAGATTTTATGTAACCATCACAACAGGTTGGGGTCTGCCAGTCTTCAGCCAAAGGTGTCTACTTACCAGGTGGTTTCTTTAGCAACAATTATAAGAATGCTAGGGTTTTTTTCTTTCTTATCCCTTTAAATCCTAGCAGTGACTAGCATCCTATTTCTCCTTACAGTGTTACTGCTGAAGCAGAGATCAAGGTTAGGAGAATAGAAAAAATGATTACCAACTATAGTAGCTTTTGATTGTCAAATAAATTCTCCTTGTCAAGACCAAAGCAAATGTATAGAGAGCAAAATGGGAAATATGTATACCGATGTTGGGGTGTAAGGTGTCAAAGTAATGGGATCAGAGATAAGGAGATATAACATTAGATTGGTCCTCAGCCTATATTGTCATATGATGCTGGCATGTCTAGTTTATAGGAACTTAGCTTGTTTTTGGCACTCATTGTGACTGGAATATGTTAGTGTTTTGCAGATTACCCTCTTAAACATTTAATTAAGTTTACCTTTTTTTTCTCTTTTAGCAGAGGTTAATTGTGTCAGTCATTTGTCATACATCAGGGCAGGAAATTAATTTTTTTTTCTGATAGCCACTTGGCTCCTAAATTTTTCAAAGTGGTAGCCATTTAAAAAAAAGTTGGTTGCCATTTTTAAAGGTTTTTTTTCACACTGCTGACCCTCCAAAATTAACTCAGGAAAAAGATCTTTAACCTGCTACAAAGTGGACACTAAAATGGATGATATACAACCTTCAAGCTCACCTAAATCCAAGATGGCATCTAGTTATTGTTCCAGATGCATGTGCCACGTTTTGGAAACAAACTTAACGAGGAAGTTTGCCATGGATTTATCTTTGCAAATCTTTTTAATTTACTATATCCCCAGGTAAGGTTACCAATTTGGCGACTAATTTTCAGGGTTTGGTTGCCAAATTGAAAAATTTATTGCATTCATTTGGTGCCTGCATTAGGCACAATTAAAAAAAAAAAACAATGATAACTTGAGGTTCTATGTAACATACAGCACACTGGAATTAAAGCTGGGGGAGGCTCAACCTAAACTGTCTTAGAACCTCAAGTTTTTATACTGATTGTTTTTTTTTTCTTCCTCTTTTAGGATTTGCACAGCAATGTCTGTACAATAGCCAAATTCCTTGGTAAACAGCTCTCAGAAGATATCATTACAAAAATTGCTGAACAGTGCAGCTTTAAAGGAATGAAGAAGAACATGTCAAATTACTGGGTAGAGCGCACAGCTCAGGGGCCAAAACTGTTACGCAAAGGAAAGATTGGTGACTGGAAAAATTACTTCACCCCAGAACAGAACACGATGTTTGAAAATGAGGTTATGAACAAGCTGATAGGGACTGGGCTGGAATTTGACTTTGAAGGTTGAGCTTGATTATTGTCTTGAAAAAAGATTTTTAAATGCTATCTACCTTAGTTTGTATGTGTTACAGTGGAATATAGGGTAAGATTCTGATTAATAATGGTAATAGGACTAAGTGGAGTCCATTTTGGTCTGTAATCATACAAGTGATTGACAAAATAGGACAAGTGCAAAGTGGGAGTCTGATTTGGTTATCACGAGTATGATTACAGACAGAATTGGACAACACAAAGTTCTGTTACTAATTAATCAAGACTATGACAAAATTTGAGAAAGAAAATAGACATTGGTTATACATGTTCATAAAAAACAACAGTTAACTTAATGAAATGTAAGACAACTGTATGGGCACCTTGAACTGTCCTGGTATTACACTGTCCAATTACAAGCATGATAGGTGCACTGTCTTATTAGTGCTCAAATCTGGCTGGTGATAATCAATCATTTTACTATAGTTTTGATTAAAAGGGAAACTGTATCACTGCTTTGGTGGGGGGGGGGAGGGTGGGGGAATTAAAAGATAATCTGGTTTTATCATCTGTGTTGACTTGAAGTTGACCTGAGGTAGTCTGACCTGAAGCTGTTGTTTCAAGTATTAGCCCTTTGTCATTTGCCCTGACGAGGGGCTAACGCTGGAAACTTCAGCTTTAGTAACTCTTTATGGAGGCCAATTTATATTATCAACTCACTTGATAAAATCAAATTATGTTCTTTTTACAGTTACTGTAGAACTTTGCTGGCCACTGGTTTGGCAAAATAAAATAGATATCACAGTTTTCATGATTTTCATTTCTTTAATTCTATTTGGTGATTTCTGTTAGAAATGTTTTATTAATATGTTAGGTCCACATTAGCTTGAAATTGTAAATAACAAAAATCAAGCCATTGCCATGAAATGGAAGCAGAGTTACTTTTTGGAGTTTCTTACTGATAGATACCTTAAAGCCTGGGCATAAATCTGTTTTGAAAACCCCAAGTAGCCAAAGCACAAAAAACGAGTGCCCATAACTATGAAAATATTTCTATGTTGCTCAGTGGGCAAAATGTAAGGATTTGTATGGGAATAAACAGTTCCACCCTCAACCTAAATATCTGAACTTATAGTATATACTTAAATGAAATCTACTTCCTATAGGATTCACACACAACATAAACATATTTGCAATCAATGTCAATGTCTGAAATTTAATTATTAACCGTTTAGGTAAATAAAGGATTTATTTGCTTTAATAATGTTATTGAATAAATTAAACAGAATCTTGCAACTGTTTTGATTTGCTTAATTTTCTCTCTTATATATATTGGTGTTATCATCATCTCTTTTCCATTCCTTTAGAAGTTCTCTGTAGTGTTCTTCAAATATACAGGGTCCATGCACTCATTTTTAAGATCATCAGTTGCCACTCCATATGCAGGTCATCTAAGTCTCACTAAAGCATCTTTGATGTCTTGCCAATACACATGGAATGTAGCATCATCCACAGAAGCCTTCTCAGCATGGCCATACACTGCATTTCTAAAGTATTTCACTCAGGCAATGTCAGCCTCTGTGCTCATATCTGTGGCAGGTGGAAGTGCATCCCATCCAGCGGCTGGTGGACTTAGGCTACAAATGTTCCTCAGTAGGACTGTCAGAAGAGTTATATCAAAGTTTTTTGATGACACTGAGGTGTGTATTGCAGGGTATAACTTTCCCCATAGTGTTGGATTTAAAATTTTTTTCATTTGAAGTTGCTGAAGCTTGGTGTGATGTGTCTGCAAGTGTTTGTGAAGATCACCTGGGAGATTAATCCTGTCAAATGTGTCCTGTAGCACACAAGATCCCACATCAACCAGGAGACAACAAAGTCTTGCATAATTTGTGGTTTCTTTAGTGGAGAAAAATGACACTAGAGCAGCAGCTGTGGCCATTGTCTTCCTGACATAAAGAAATGAGAAAGGCCATATATTAAAGAGGTTCTGGCTTATTTATTTATGAACCAATACATTTCACTTGATTATAGTTGGAGAGGTAGGTGAAAGAGAACATTAATCCAGCTTCAACATTTTAAGAATAGGGAGGGTATTTTTGATGATGGATAGGGCTCCTTCCTTAATAACTTGTATGTTACACAGCCATGAAAAATGCATGTGTTGTACTAAAAAATGGTTTGAAGAATAGATGTTTTGAATATGTGGTGAATTCTTTCAAAGATCTTTAACTTAGAAGAACGATGGTAGTTTTAAGCAGTGTATCGGTTGAATATCGTATTCGTCATTAGTTACCATTCAGAATTGGGTTAGGTTGTCGATTCGAATGTGAGAAGAAGAATGATGTAGAACCTAAGAGTGTTTGGCAAAACTAGGCTTGTTAGGATAGTAAAGCATCAGCTTTGACGGCTAAGATTTGGTGTTTACTCGACAGACAGCAGTTCTCATTCTTTTAAAACTAGTAAATAAAGGGGTAAGTTTCTAAAGAAACTGTGGTGCTGCGTCGGTGGGAGAGTATAGCAGGTAATTTAGTGTTAACAACTGGGTTGAAAACGTAAATTAGCCACCGTAAGGAGTAAAAAAGCTGACGTCAGAGCCGAAGGGCTAACGCTCGAAACGTCAGCTTTTTTACTCTTTACGGTGGCTAATTTACGTTTTCAACCCAGTTGTTAACACTAAATTACCTTTTAAAACTCGGTAGTTAGTTAGATAACGGCGTAATATGTGACTAACACAGTCTATAGACTGTTACGCCGTTATATATATTCCCCTAGAAAACTGATCTTAAGAAAGTTAAGATATACAAACCTGCTTTATCACAAACAGAAGGAACCACTCAGAGTATCACAACATCAAGTCTGAAAGAGAACGTACGTGCAATTTGGCTTCTCCCTCGAAATAAAGGGACGTCATCGTCTGGTGGCGGTCACGCGAAGTTTTTGATGATCATAGTAACAGATCGATGGTCACGCGTCACACGATTGTGCAAAGTTCGCCGAATTGTACACTTTTAAAGGGGTTTTTATCTTTGGTTGATTCACTCGTATTTCGCGGAATTGTTTCAATTTTAAGGGGCCTCTTTAATAAGTCAAAGCCAACTATAGTTTGTTTAGAAACTTACCCCTTTTATTCAATGATCAACTTATCTAGTTCTGTAATACTGAACAAGCACAGCAGATTTAAAAGAACAATAACTCAAAGAAAATTTTTAGTAAGCCTAGGGGAAATGACGAGGCAGAAAAAGCTGAATTATAAAACCTGAATATACATATATCTATTTGTAGCGATAGGAACCGCGCGCTAATCATATCTGTCGGAAAGATGTCAAAAAATAAAGAAATAAAAAGAAAGACAGGCCTAGCCTCCACCCCGTACACTGGGTCTTTTCCCTGTTTATCACGACTATCAAATCAAATCAGATCAGCTTGAGAGACTAAACAGTAACCGAAACGAAAAGTAAATGCACCCGTTTATTTACTTTATTGGTCATTGGCATTTCTGTCAAGATTAGGAATCATTTGTTCTACCCATTTCCTTAAGAGAAAAATTTCATCCGATATAATTTCATGTCCTTGCATTGCGTAATTCACTTGGAAATCAGTTTGTATCTTCAATTCCACAAAACACTGCAGTGTGTGCAGCTCATCTCAGTCAGTTTTTATCTCTTCTTGATTCCACCTATTAAGCGAGGAATTCTGGTCGTTGTTAAGCCCTTCCTTTTTTCTCAGTGTCTTAAAAAAGGTCGACGGCGTCGATAAGATGGAATAATGAGCAAAAAAATCAGCAATATTCGTGAAAAACCTGATGGACAAAAGAGAAAAAGGAAAAGTCTTACAATGCCACGTGCGATTTCTCTGTCACGGAAATGGTTCTAGTTGTATGCGTAACATGTGCCATATTTGAGCCTCTGTGGCCTGGTGGTAGTCGGGACCATCGGAAAGGAGCGGAGGGTGTGTCCTTTAATTCATATCTTTTTCCACGCTCGTGACTTGACGAAAAAAAACCAGGTTTCTTCAGTGATGGTTCTGTCACTTCACAAAGTGTCACAATAATATCTATTAGGGGATTATTAGTCGATCTAAACCAAATTCTCCAATGTTACATCATTAAAATTATGTAGCAGACTGTAAGGATAATTTTTTAATGAGATTTGTAATTTAAATGGTCAGAGAACTCCAAAAACCTTTTTGGATGAAAAAATCCATCCTTGGGTTTGGGATAGTTTTTAAAGTTAAGGTACACAATTTAAGCATAATGTCCCCCCCCTCCCCATCCTTCCCCTTTGCCCTTTGGCCCTTACTTGAAATCTACTTCCCTGTTCTGTCTGCCTGCATGTTTATTCTGGCATATGTAAAAGGAAAAAAAGTTAAGCTTTAAATGGGTGTGATCGTATTTTGAAGAACAATTTAATCTGCAATTGTTTCATTCCAGTGTTGTATGGTCATTGGAAGGATCATGTGTTAGGCTGGTGGAGGCACGGGGATGATCTTAATGTCTTATTTCTCAAGTACAAAGACTTGATTAAGATTTGATTGTGTTTTAGTGTGTTTTATGAAATTCTAATTTCACATTTATTCATTCATCAACCAAATTAAAGTAGGTTGATATCTGATAGTGTAAGATTATATTTTACCATCACAACAGGTTGGGGTCTGCCAGTCTTAAGCCAGAGGTGTCTACTTACCAGGTGGTTTCTTAAGCAACAATTCTTAGCATGCCAGGCTTTTTTTTTCTTTCTTATCCCTTGAAATCCTAGTAGTGACTAGGATCCTATTTCTCCTTACAGTGTTACTGCTGAAGCCAACATCAAGGTTATGAGAATAAAGAAAGTGATCACCAACTACAGAAGCTCTTGATGGTCAAATAAATTCTCCTTGCCAATACCATACCAAATGTATGGAGTTGGTATGGAGAGCAGTATGGGAAGTATGCATACTGATGTTAGGGTCTGAAGGGTCAAAGTAATAGGATCTGAGATAAGGAGAAATGACACTAGATTGGTCTTGCAAATTGTCCTATGATGCCAACATGTCTAGTTTGCTGGAACTTAGCTTGCTTTTGGCACTTATTGTGAATGGAATATGCTGGACCTGTATTGCAGGTTACCCTTTTAAACATTTGTTTGAGTTTTTTCTCTTTTAACAGAGGTGTTGTGTCAGTTTTTTGTCATACCTATAGCACACTGGAAATATAAAGCTGGGAGAGGCTCAATCCAAACTGTTACAGAACCTCAAGTTATTATTTTTATTTTTCTGTTCCTTTTAGGACTTGTGCAACAATGTTTGTGCAAAAGCCAAATTCCTTGGTAAACAGCTATCAGAAGATATCATTACAAAAATTGCTGAACAGTGCAGCTTTAAAGGAATGAAAGAATGGAAAGGAATGGAAGAACATGCCTAATTACTGGTTGGAGGGCACAGCTCAATGGCAAAAACTCTTATGCAAAGGAAGGATTGGTGACTGGAAAAATTACTTCACCCCAGAACATAACAAGATGTTTGAAAATGAGGTTATGAAC